ACACAAAAATATTAAGATTATTTCACGATCAGAGCCAAACCAGGTTACATCTGTTGACGTGAGGTGAGATAAGTACACTGATGATCCTGTGTTATCATAGATTATTACTGCATTATTTACATTTCAGCTGTGAGGTTCCTGGTTGGACACAGCGTTAGAGTCGTATATTTTCTTACCAGAGCTGCCTGTAGCATGTGCACGGTGCGTTTCTTCTCGTCCAGCTCCAGTCTGATCCTGGTCATGTTCCCGCTCAGTTCTGCCGCTGTGGCCGACGCCTGATCCACGGCCAACAGCTCGTCTTCTGACAACAACACCTGAGAACACGTGAACGATATTAAACACAACACCTGCACACGGGAAACAAACCAATGATTTAAGTGTTGTATTTTTCGGACAATAACTGATGTATGAAGACGAGGAGACACGTCCACATAGCATAGGTTTAGTCCTGTTAAATCCTGGTTTAGTCCTGGTTTAGACCTGGTTTTAGACCTGGTTTAGATCTAGGTTAGATCTAGTTTAGACCTGTTTTAGTCCTGTTTTAGACCTGGTTTAGATCTAGTTTACTCCTGGTTTAGTTCTGGTTTAGACCTGGTTAAAATCTAGTTTAGACCTGGTTTTAGTCCTGGTTTAGTCCTGTTTTAGTCCTGCTTTAGTCCTGGTTTAGACCTGGTTTAGATCTAGTTTAGATCTAGTTTAGACCTGGTTTTAGTCCTGTTTTAGTCCTGGTTTAGACCTGTTTTAGTCCTGTTTTAGTCCTGGTTTAGACCTGTTTTAGTCCTGTTTTAGACCTGGTTTAGATCTAGATTAGTCTTGGTTTAGACCTGGTTAAAATCTAGTTTAGACCTGGTTTTAGTCCTGCTTTAGTCCTGGTTTAGATCTGGTTTAGATCTGGTTTAGATCTAGTTTAGACCTGGTTTTAGTCCTGTTTTAGTCCTGGTTTAGACCTGTTTTAGTCCTGTTTTAGACCTGGTTTAGATCTAGTTTAGTCCTGGTTTAGTCCTGTTTTAGACCTGGTTTAGATCTAGTTTAGTCCTGGTTTAGTCCTGGTTTAGACCTGGTTAAAATCTAGTTTAGACCTGGTTTTAGTCCTGATTTAGTCCTGGTTTAGACCTGTTTTAGTCCTGTTTTAATCCTGGTTTAGACCTGGATTTAGACCAGTTTTAGACCTGGTTTAGATCGAGTTTAGTCCTGGTTCAGTCCTGGTTTTAGACCTGGTTTTAGACCTGGTTTAGATTGAGTTTAGTCCTGGTTCAGTCCTGGTTTTAGACCTGGTTTTAGACCTGGTTTAGATCTAGTTTAGACCTGGTTTTAGTCCTGGTTTAGACCTGGTTTAGATCTAGTTTAGACCTGGTTTTAGTCTTGGTTTAGACCTGGTTTAGACCTAGTTTAGACCTCGTTTAGTTTCTGGCAATGAGTGGAATTACCAAAAAAAAAAAAAAAAAAAAAAAAAAAAAAGCCCAAAATGCGTAAACAGGAACATTCCGCCGTGTCATCCATTTATTTCAACAAAGTAACTGTAATCCAAATACCACTCACTGAAACAGTAACTGTAACTGAATACAGTTACTCATCATTTGTACTCTGATTACGTAAAGCCGGTACATGTAATCTGTTACTTCCCGACACTGTTCATATGTGACGTTAACTGTCTGTTGTTCTCTCTTCTATTGTTTTTACTAGAACTTGACTGAAAACAGGACATGTTGGCTCCTGGTCTCTGATTTTATAAAATAAATTTCCCCCAAAAAGTGTAACTTACATATGTTTTTATCTTCTTCATTATGTATTTTTTGGCTGGTGTGACTCAGATACAGTACATATGTGTCATAGATGTAAATGTCCGCTCTGACCCTGACCTCTTTGTGCGAGCCGGAGGTGGCGGAGCGCGGTCGCTCCTGTTCACTCTGCTCCATCTCGTCCAGGAAGCTCATGATGCTCTGCAGTTTGGCCTCAGACAGGAGAGCGCCACCGTCAGGAGGAGGGAAGCTCTGCAGCACGTGACGCTGGAGGTTATCAGCGGTGAGAGACGGAGAGTCTACGTCCTGGAAACACACAGCATCTACTTTAACAACAGCACTAGTATCAATAGTAGTAGTAGTAGTAGTAGTAGTAGTAGTAGTAGTAGTAGTATCCGTATTACCTGTGTCCCTGTGTACTTGTCCTTGCAGTAGTAGTAGTAGTAGTAGTAGTAGTAGCAGTAGTAGCAGTAGTAGTAGTATTAGTAGTAGTAGTAGTAGCAGTAGTAGTAGTAGTAGTAGTAGTAGTAGTAGTAGTAGTAGTAGTAGTAGTAGTAGTAGTAGTAGTAGTAGTAGTAGTAGTAGTAGTAGTAGTAGTAGTAGTAGTAGTAGTAGTAGCAGTAGTAGCAGTAGTAGCAGTAGTAGTAGTAGTAGCAGTAGTAGTAGTAGTAGTAGTAGTAGTAGCAGTAGTAGTAGTATTAGTAGCAGTAGTAGCAGTAGTAGTAGTAGTAGTAGTACCTGTAAGCCTGTGTACTTGTCCTTGCAGTAGTAGTAGTAGTAGTAGTAGTAGTAGTAGTAGTAGTAGTAGTAGTAGTAGTAGTAGTACCTGTAAGCCTGTGTACTTGTCCTTGCAGTAGTAGTAGTAGTAGTAGCAGTAGTAGTAGTAGTAGTAGTAGTAGTAGTAGTAGTAGTAGTAGTAGTAGTAGTAGTAGTAGTAGTAGTAGTAGTAGTAGTAGTAGTAGTAGTAGTAGTAGTAGTAGTAGTAGTAGTAGTAGTAGTAGTAGTAGTAGTAGTAGTAGTAGTAGTAGTAGTAGTAGTAGCAGTAGTAGCAGTAGTAGTAGTAGTAGTAGTAGTAGTAGTAGCAGTAGTAGTAGTAGTAGTAGTAGTAGTAGTAGTAGTAGTAGTAGTAGTAGTAGTAGTAAGTAGTAGTAGTAGTAGTAGTAGTAGTAGTAGTAGTAGTACCTGTAAGCCTGTGTACTTGTCCTTGCAGTAGCTCTTCTTGTTGCTCTGCAGTTTACAGGGCTCCTCCTCCAACAGTCTCAGAGAGTCGAGGAGGTCGGTCAGAGTGTTTTTGGACTGAGGTCGGCTCTGCTCGTCTGGACTCACCGGACTGTGGACCAGAACCTGAGCACACGACAACAAATGTACAACAACTAAACAACTCACAGAATACACGCATCAAGAAGAGCGACAACAAAACAAAATCCCGTTTGTTAATGTAGAGGAGCAGAAGACAAACAGACTGAGCTGCACTTTCTTGTTCTTGTGGTTTTACAGCAACATCACGTCTTGGTCTCTTTGCAGTGGAAGGTGTTTCTTGGTGAACAGCTGGAGCCTTTCACTTTGGCGTTGACTTTTTAAATTCGTAACCAAGACTGAGTGAGGGATCAGGATTTTGTTTTGTTGTCGCTCCACATACAAAATGTTCTCTGTAAATTTGGGATGATTTCTTAAGGGCCGTTCAGACCAAAGCGTCAAAGCGTCCACTTTCAATGTAAAGTCTATGTGGACGCGCGACTAGAGCGTCCTGCGTTTTTGCGGCGCGTTTTCGGCGTCAGCGCGGCGCGAATCTGGCATCGACACGGCGCGTCTTGAGCGTTTTGGCGTCAGCGGTCTAGACGCGTGTCCAAGGCGTCAGCGTCAAGAAGTTGAAAATGCTGAACTTTTCGCGTCAGACTCGCCGCGTCAACCAATCAGGGACGAGTATCCAGTGACGCAGCGACGTTATTATCAGGAAGAAAAACCCGAGAACCAGAGAGAGAACCACAAACACGAGCGGAGAATAAATATATACGCCACAATCACCGAGCCGATCGCGAGGACTAAACCAGGACCGGACCAGGACTAAACAAGGACTAGACCGGGAGTAGGCCGAGACTAGACCGGAACCAAACCAGGACTAGACCGGGACTGATCCAGCGTCATTAGTGGAGTATAAATATATATACGCCCCAGTCGTCGACCCGATCTCCTCCGCTGATGTTTTATGTCATAAAAACACTCTCTCAGTCTGGTCTGACATTGTTTCGGGAAAAGAGCGGGACCGGGCTCTTGTTTCCAGGGCAACGGACGCGCGTCAAGTATTTTTGTCCCGTTCGTCCACGGCGTCAAAGACACGCGTCGAGGGCGTCTAAACTCAAATGCAAAGGCTCCAAATAGAGGCGTCAAGGCGTTTTTTGGCGCTTTGGTGTGAACGGCCCTTTAGTCAGTCAGATGTTTCCTTTTTGGTTCTTCCTGTGGATCAATCCTGCCCATCACTTTCACCTTCCACTATTTTTCAATTTCGCTGGGAAGAGAAACAGTTTGAACGGAGGTTTGAGTCACACACATCTGATTCACTTTTGCATTTATGGAGTTCGCAAACAAATTTCTCGAGTCGTTTTCCGCCGTTTGGATCCAACAACCACACAATTACGATGTCCGAATCCCAAAACTAAAATATGACAATATCAGAACCAGAAACAAAAGTGATATGGTTCAAAAGACTTGAAAAGATCGACTTTGACAATAGACACATCCCACTGGGAAAACAAACATGGAGGTTTGACGCTCACTTTTTCGGAAAATCCTTCCAGAAGTCCGAGATTCTTGATGCGTCTATATTATTTATACTTATATTATACTAAGAAAAAACCCGACTGATCTGCCCTTCCACACTCACACGAGGTAAAGTGAAGTGTCTGTACTGTACCCGGTGTGTTACCTGTTCAGAGCCTCTGTGGTTGGACGGGGCTGGAGACGCGGCTCTGAAGTTCAGGTCTGACAGGTCGATGTTCAGGTGAGCGTCTGAGGAGAGGAGAGAGCGGAATGAACTCAGGTTGGGTGTGAATGGCGACTTATATTCAGGTGGTTCTCCTCTCTCACCTGTGTTGTTGGCCTTGTTGTCACTGGGGGACAGAGGAGCGGCGCGAGTCCTGTTTGAAGTAGTAGTAGCAGTAGTAGTAGTAGAAGTATTTGCAGTAGAGGAGAAAGCAGGACTGTGGCTGGGGGCGCGGAGGAGAGGAGGCTTGCTTCGGGTCACGCTCAGTCGGACCGGCTCGG